CATTGATATATAAAAGTCCCACAACCTTACATCATCAGAGTGTCATTACAAAAGTATTACATGTTTAACAACCAAAAGCAATAATGCCCCTATAGGGACTTACAGCTTTCCAAGTTAACACTTGCGCTTACAACCAAAAAAGTACTAACTTCATTTTACATTTTAGCCTTGGCTTGAATTACATAATACTTCAAAAAACAAACGACAAAAGTATTTCCGCTCTAGCCTTCCCAAGCTATGTCCTTGGAGGTGGCATGCATACCTGTACCTGAAAATTGATATTCCCATATAGGTGAGCCACAGCCCAGTAGAAATACACTAAACCAACCATTGAAAATGACTAAAAAGATTAGCAATTGATAGATGGCCCAAACACTTGATTACATTTCATATAAAATCACATATTTATGTCATAACGACTTATGAGTCCAAGTTACTTTTATTTTTCCCTTCAACAATAAGGCTCATTGCTCTATCATCTCTCAACAGAATATGGTATAAAAATCTATATCCCACATTCACAGATAGCATATAAGCTATATCCACATTCCTAACAGTATATGTATAACAACAAATATCCCACACTCACAGATAAGCATATAAGCTAATTCCACACTTCACAACAGATAAGCAGTTATAAGCTCTATCTTCCACTTCTCTAGACAAGCATATGAGCTGTAATCTACGGGTCTCATCCCCTATCTTCTCCCAACCTATCCGGTTTAGAGGTACATCCCCATCTTCCCCTAAACCGCGGAGTACATCCCATTTCCTCCTCTACACATAACGATCAACACATTGGTTCTATATACAAATCACTCAATACTACAGTTAATGTATTCTATCAACCGGTCAATCTCATGACACAATTCCATGAGTTAGTTTCGTATAATGCCTAATCATCATGCATTGTCTTACAACAATCACGACTATCCTCCCACCGATAGCCCAAAAGCAAATTATTTCTAAACAGAAAAATAAAGCACAAATAATTATTCCTCAACATTTCATTCGTGTGAGTAATAAATAATTCAACTACACCTTTTTTCCCCATACATTCCCAATCTCAAACAATTCCATTTCATTTCCTCATTTTCTCACAATTAAGTTATGTCTCAATTAATCAAACAATGTAATAGCCAGTCATTTTCCCCATAATTACCATCCACAACCCTTTAGTCCCATCTTTCATCAATGATTCAACATTTAATTCCATTCTCTATACCAAAACATGCTTCTAGATTTATTATAAATAAAACCCCAACTTTTGTAAAATAACACCAAAAGCCCCAAACTTCACAAAAATTACCAAACCAACCCCAACATCTCAATAATTACCAAAAATTTAAAGACAAAATCCATAGAGAGGAGTTAGGGATGATCCCTACCTCAAACTTATTAGCTCCAAAGAGATGAAGACCAAAATCAAAAATTGCTCCAAAGACCAACGATTCTCGGATGAAAACGACGCCCTCGGACGATCAACACGACTTTTACAAGGCCGAAGGCGAGAACTCACCCTAAGCTAGATCAAAAATCTAGAGAAGAAGACAAGATTTAGAGAAGGAGCCTCTCAAATGGCTTTTAGAAAAAGTTGGGGAGGAGAGAAAGAAAACAAAAAGTGATTGAAATCACCCAGCGAATTAACTCATATAGCATGACCCGCTCGAGCGGAAGACACGACGCTCGAGCGCAAGAACAAAATCTTTGGACACGCTCGAGGTAATAAGGCCCGCTCGAGCCCAAGACACAAAGAATAAAGCACTTCCGCTCAGAGGCAAAAACCAGTCGCTTCGAGGTGGATTTCCGTTTGAGCAGTTCAAGTCTTTCATGGTGGCCAATCCAAATATTTTATCCTAGGCCTCCGCTATGACTACAACTCAGTTAGGTTTGTTTGGTTCACCTTCTTTAGGTAATATCCATACTTCGTGGATATTTGATTCTGGTTGTTCATATCATATGATCCCTATTGCATCTCTTAGTAATTGTGTCTCCCCATCTTCTTCTATCACTATTGCTAAAGCTAATGGTTCTTATATGCCTATACACTCTATTGGTTCTATTTCCTCTTCCCATTTATCTCTTTCTCCTGTATTTTATGTGCCTCACCTCTCACTTAGTCTTATTTCTATTAGTCAATTATCTGATTCTGGTTTTGATGTTGTTTTCTCTTCTTCTCATTGTGCTGTGCATGATCAGATGTCCAAGAGACGAATTAGGATTTGGCGTAGAGTTGGAGAACTATATATCTTGGACAACTTGCATGTTCCTCTAGAAGTGCCTTCTACAGCATTGTCTTCTTTTTGTTTAAACACTAAGTCTTCTTTATTTTATATTTGACATTCTAAGTTAGGTCATCTATCGATTGATCATTTGAGGATGATAGTTTTGTCTGGACATTTAAACAATTTCTTCATTGATGATATTTCTGAGTGTCGTGGTTGTAAATTGGCTAAAATATCAGCTCTTCCTTTTAATAAAAGTAGTTTTATTTCATCTTCTCCTTTTCAATTGGTCCATACTGATGTTTGGGGTCCTTCCCCTATAGTTACCAAGGGTGGTTCGCAATATTATGTGTCTTTTGTGGATGATTACAGTCGGTTTACCTAGGTTTATTTGATGACTCGAAAATTTGATTTCTACAAATATATATAGTCTAATAGAATCAAACCCTAACAACCTAAAGACTAAACTATCCTTAATGAATAATATAAACTACCATAATTCACAGCCACATCCTTGCCCATGCTTGGGAAGACCATGATTGTTACTTAAAGGATTGTGACTAGTTCCATCTCACTTGAAGTATGTAGAGAAGCTTTCCCTTCGGTCAAACTCTAAGTTGTCAATTTTGTTTAAAGTTCTTCTAATCTAGTTGAATTTTTTTAAGAATATGATGATTTCTCCTCTGTTTAGTTCGAATGGGACACAAATCACAACAATGGTGGAAAATTGTTTCTTTGTGTAGTTTGGATGTGACGCAAAGGGAGCAATGGAAGAGGATAGTTAGAGACATAAATATCTTCTAAGAGATTCTCTGAATTATTATTATTTATTTAAGTTTGAGAGAAGCATAATTGCATTAGCTGAGATTTTAACACTCTCCAATGGTCGGAATCTATAAATCATGCCGATCATTTGTCCTCTACTCTGCTCTTGGTTCTACGTACACCCCAAAGGATTGTTTAACGTAGAATTCTTTGATTTGAACAGGCTAAATACGAGGCCTTGGCCTTTATTTATATCATGGAACTCAACTGTAATTTTCAGTCTACCCACTTCTAAATTACACTTATGGATCTAGTGACAATTGTGTCGTTAAATGTAGGAAAATTTATTAAAAAATAAGAATAAAGATTGAGAGTTTTAATTTTGGAGCTCTAAAGAGAACTCTATTTTGGTGGCAAGGAGTGGGACCCACATGTGATGTGATGTGTGTGCTTATATTTTTATTTTTTTTATTTTTTTCTTTTCATGCCACATCATTAGAGCTCTCTTTAGAGCTCCAAAATTAGAGCTCTCTATCATTGTTGGAGGAGAAATAAGAGGGACCCACAAAGAAACCACACCTAGGCAATTGCTGACTAGGGAGATTCTCCACGGTCCTTATAGGGAAATTCTATTCCCACACACTCATCTACCTCTGTGCACACACTTGATGATTTATTTTTTTATTACAATTTTATCCTAAAATAAAATTACTAAAGTGTACTTCTCTTCTCCACCAAAACCCTAATTTCTTCATCTCCCCTATGCACACACTTTGATCGTTGTTGAATGGATTCACCATTGTTGACATTGGATTGAAGATGGAACCGAGAGAGAGAGAGATGTAATGGACTTTCAGACCATAGCAGGGGAGGATGGATGTTGGTTTAGGTTTCAATATCAAGGAGGGGTTGTTGGAGGAGATGAGGGTAATATGGGGCCTTCTCTCCTTCGGGTGAACTCCGGGGTGGCTCCGTCTATGGCAGACAACGGAAACTCGTCGTTGTTCGCCATGGACGGCGATCAGATGAACTTGGAAGACAAGGTTTTGTCTGTCAACGTTTCCACAGACGGCGCCAATTGTACGGGGAGCAAATATTCCGACAAGCCTGTACTCCTTTTTTTCGAGCTCCGTTTATGTCCGATCACCTGCGCGCAAAGAAGGGTGAGCTACCCGGCGGTGTGTGGCCGGAAAAACCCTCCGACGATCAAGTTAGCACACACCTTAGGATATGAAGAGAGAGAAAGAGGAGTGAATGAGTGTGGTAGGACGTGTGTCAGTGGCTTTATTTTTTTTTAAGCTAATCTCAACCATAAATGTTCAGTGGAGTGATCTAAGCCGTCACCCGAAGGAAAGGCTGGAGAGGATCCGAACTCGATAGGAGGGGGGGTGTCCGATGATGAGGGATTGGTGGTAATTGAAGGGGGTGAAAGGAGGAAAGAATAAAATGAATTTTTTTTAAAAAAAAAAACAATTATTAAATTGAAGGATAAAGACTTTATCCATTAACTTTTAGGTATAAAGCAATTTCAATAATTTTTATATTCGGTGTACACCATTACTGGGGGGTCAATGTTAGTGCCAACTATTACGGCCTTCGGTAAGTTTGTTTGTTTTTTTTTTTTAAATAAATAAATCAAAGATCCTGACTAAAATATTAAACTATTAAAATTCAATATTTTAGCTCTTGATGTATTAGTGACGAGATGAATGGAACTAGCTAGCTAACTGGACTCGTTTTGGTTAATTGTATAGAAGATAAAGTCAATTTGATAAAATTAACTGTGACTTATTTTGGTTGGTAAATAGGCAATAAGGCTGATCTCATTCATTATCTTACCACTATGGAATGGTTGAATGTGATTAATTTTCTTAATTTTTATAAATAATAAAAAATTCCATTAAAAAAAAAAAAAAAAAAAGTCAGACGCTAAGAAACTGACAACAACCAATGCTATGACATATATTAGGAACAATGTGAAAAGATGAATATTACATTCCAACACTTCCCAATTCCCAGTTCAACTGAGATTATATCGAACACAATCATATATCAATTAATATTAAACAATATCAATCGATATATCAATAATTCGGTCTTGGAACTTCATTTGAGATTTTTGCATCTAAAAATCTCTACTCCAAAAAGTAAAAGAGCAAAAGGCACAATAGTAACTAATACCAAAGAACTGCAACAGTTGAATCATAAGAAATTTCTCAAGCAAAATAATGTCCATATGCCATTTAAAAAGACCAATCTTCAGAAAACAATCCTTATTGCATAATGCTGAACTATCATGATGGCAATGAGTGCAAAAAAGATAACCATAACTAGAAATATTCATTGTTTGAGGGCAATGAAAATCAGCGCAGCCTTCGAGCTTCCCTTTCAGACTCGAGCAGGGTGAGAACATCCCCAACCCTGACCGGTCCCTTGACATTCCTCATAAGAGTACGCTTCGACTCATCCATAAACATCACTCTTACCTGAGTCACCTGCCCTCTTGACCCTGTCCTCCCAATGACTTGTATCACCTGTGCATTCTTCACCTGAGACTCCATGTTGCTCTGCTAAATCAAAATAACAAGACAATAGTTTAATACATGTTCTTCTTTTTATGTATAAAAAGACACACACTCACATACAAAAGGAATACAATAGTAAGTGCAAGGCAACAAGGAGCAAATTAGAATTTGCAAATTTCAGAGGACTTTGCATTATATTTAATGCAGAAGACAGGTTTTTTTTTTTTCTTTTTTTTTCTTTCTTTCTTATGTCTTGTTTGTCCTGCAATAGTCTCACAAAGAGACCAAGACAGAAGAAACTCTACCTCTAAGAAGCATGGACAGGACACAGAAACGCAATGCGATATGGCCCCGCCAACACAATAGTTATAATAAAATAAAATAAATAAATGCACTATAAGATACGTGTGAGACATTCACAAAATATATAAATTAATGTGTTTATTATATCATTCAAAGATAATAACAAATGCAATCTAATATTAATTTTTATAAATCTGCATCATTTTTCCTTTGTGATTGTATTGCCTTGAGTTATTTTGTCAAAATTTATAATTAATTTGATTGATGACACATAGACTTACAAAAATTAAATGTGTGACTGATTTGTATCAATGTTTACAATATTTATTCTCTAAAACCAGTATATTGAAATAAGTAATACTGCAAACACCGTTTTTAAAAATTGTTTGGTTTGAAAATTCACTAAACAAACGAAATCGTCTACAAACAGTTTTTGAAAATTAAACTAAACTAAATCAAAAAATTAATCTAGAAAATTACCCACACTTCAATTCTAGACAGAAATCTGGGCAATAATTCTAGGTTCCCCTAGTTCCTGGGCCACTAAAATTTGCATGAACCACCAAGAATACCAAGAATGAAAGGCATAGACCATTGCAAATAAAAAAAATTTACAGAAGTCCATGTTCCAATTGATGATACAGTTTTTTTGGGACCCGTTTACACGCATCTCGACTAATCAAGAAACCCATGCAAAGTGCTCCTCTACCTAGATCGGGCAAATATCTGGCAGTGTCCGTGAACGTGATAGATCAAATAAAAAAGGGGGGAAAAAAAAAGGAAAAGGAAAAAAATTCAAATAAAAAATAAAAAAACCTGGAGTTCACCACACACATTGAACATGGACATGGTAACGTATACAAAAATTAACAAAAACATGTAGAAGGAATCATGGTATTCAAGTTATGCAATCACAAACATTCATGCAATCACAAACATGTAGAAGATAATACAATCACAATTTTTGAAAATCTCAGATGCATTAACACAAAGAAAGTCTATCATAAAATTTACATGACACCAAGATTGAGATTGTCATAGGGTTGATACAAAATACGAATAATAACAGATCAATCATTCAAGAAGAAAAAGAAAAAAAAAAACACAAAGGAAAAGAAAGAGACGAACCTTCTCTTGCTAGGTTAAAACTATAGGAAGAATAAAATTATGGGTTGCGGTGTGTGGGTATTTATAACCGCTGGTAGTAGGGTTTCACGGTTTTTTGTTTTTGTAAATTGCTTTTCCAAAAAGATTAGGATGAGTTTGTGAAAGGGCAAAACTAGCCTTTCTTGAATCTTGGGAGGTAGTTAAAGTAGTTAGGCCACTCTGAAAAATAATAAATCATAAATTTTAAAACACAAAAAAAAAAAAAAAATTAAATAAGAACGACATCATTTTGATGAGCAGAATCTCAGCCCTCTATTTCTATTGCTTTTGACATGGCACATTCTCATGAGAAGTATTACAAATTGCACTACAACCCAACCACTACAAGAGATCTAGATTTGCTATTAAAGTCAAGATTCGCTATTAAAATCAAGGTAAATGTATAAATTCAGAAGTCAAAATAACACAAATCACATATTTAGGAAACTAAAAAAATAATTTTTAAGTGAATTGCTACTTAAATGACACATATCACATTTCTTTTAGCTAGAAGTGTAATTGTTTAAATGAATTTTTACGTTTATCATTGACAGGGTTAGATTGAAAAATTTATTTTTAAATTTTTTTAATCACTCCCCCAAACACGGTCTAAAAATGTAATTTGAGCTAATTAGTTCTTTCCTATTAAGTCTCTTTAGTCCCATCATCTGTCTCTCTCTCATCGTGAATTAATGTCCTTTAACTACGTTGCTGACTTAAATTTTGGTCAGCCATTGAAAAAATTATGGTTGGTCATCACAAATTATTATGTCTTTTCATGTTTTTTAATTATTTAATATAAAATTGTGAATCTTATTCTATCCACCAATCACAATACATATAAAGTGCCACGTGACACTGTTTCTAAATCAACTAATAACTTTTCTAGCTATAGCCAGTCTCATCTAACTAATTTATTGGTCATATGTCTTCTTTATTTCCTATTTATTTCATCCATTTCTCTTTTTTTTTAAAATAAAAATTATGCAAAATTTTTACTTTATTTTATCAGTTCTACATAGCCCTTTAACATTTTTACTTTTTACTTCTTTTTTTAATTAGGAAAAAGAAAAAAAAAAAAAAAATCAAAGGTACGTGGAAGTAAACGCAGATGGGGCTCACTAGGCAGGCGCCGTCAACCCTACTCAACTTGCTGATTTCCTACAGCTGTGATGTGTTTCAACCATGAGCAATGCTATAGATTATTAATTTACTATTATTAATACCACCACTAATGAGCTGGTAATTGAAAAAAAAAAAGAAAAAAAAACAAGGCACAAATTTAACACATGTCGCAGTGGGTATTACACTACAACATTTTCTTAGTTTAGTGACATTTGAAAGTGCCACAAAACTATTCTTCTAATGACATTTTTTGGTCTTGTGGCATTTTGAACAAGTGCCACTTCTATCGGTGCCACGGTAGATACTTGCAAGTGCCACTGCACCATCATGGCTGAAAACTTTCAATGACATTTTGATGTCATGGTAGATATTATTTGTGGCACTATCAAGCGTCATTAAAAAAAGAGTTAGTGACACTTATAAGTGTCATTACACCATCAAGACTAAAACCTTTCGGTGACACTTTAATGTCATGGTAGGCACTATTCGTGACGCTATCAAGTGTCATTCATGACGATAATTCGTTGTAGAACAATTTGATCTGCTCTTGCAGAGACTCGAACCGCCAACCTTCCGCACCATAAACCTTATACACCACACTCTTCCCACTACACCTCTATAGCACCACATGATTATATATGCAACATATATTATTTATATAGTACATACATCCATATTAATATAAAAGTATATGTATAAACATAATTATTTTATTGAACATAATTTATGTAAAATAAACTATTTACTACCAAAATAAAAATAAAAAAACCACTTTTGGTGATTAAAAATATTTTTTAGTTGCCAATTCTACACTTTTGGCTACTAATTATTTTTTAGTTGCTAAAAAACTTTACTTTTGTCAACAAAATCGGATTTGGTCGCCGAAGATGCACTTTCAGCTACCAAAATTTTGGTCACCAAAAAATTTTATTCCCGCCTTAGGATTTTAGTTCTCCCACGCTAAAAATGACCACTTTTGGCGACTAAAATTTAGTCGCCAATTGTAAACTTTTGGCTACTAAAATTTTTTTTTGCACCAAAAAGCTTTATTTTTTGCTACTAAAATTTTTTTAGTCGGTAAAACCCATATAATTAGCGACTAAACTTATTTTTAGTTGCCAATTGTAGACTTTTGGCTACTAAATTTTTTTAGTCGCCAAAAAGCTTTACTTTGAGCTACTAAAAATTTTTTAGTCACTAAAACCCATATAATCAGCGAACGAACTTAGTTTTAGTCGCCAATTGTAGACTTTTGGCTACTAAAATTGTTTAGTCGCCAAAAAACTTTACTTTGGGCTACTAAAAAATTTTTTCACTAAAACCCATATAATCAGCGACCAAACTTAATTTTAGTCGCCAATTGTAGACTTTTACTAAAATTGTTTAGTCGCCAAAAAACTTTACTTTTGGCAACTAATGCTGTTTTGGTCGCTGAAAACTATACTTTCAGCAACCAAATTTTTTTGGTCAGGAAATTTAGTAGCTGAATATGCTTTTTCCTGTAGTGTATATTGAGTTAATTTATTTATTTTTAATCATTTACTGCATTTTAAAAATTTAGAAAATATATTGGCATTTTTTATTTTTTCAAAAATGCCATTATAAGCTTGGAAAGTTTTTGACTTGGCATCTGTTGGTAAATGTCACGAACATAATTTTTTGTGTCATTATTTTATAAAATGTCATAAAATTGATGTGACATTTCTTTATTGAAATGCCACTAGAGCCTTGTATGTTTGTGGCTCTATGACATTTTTCTAAAAAATGCCACCAAATATTTATTTTGTGACAATTTTTAAGAACATGCCACTAGTATGGTGTCACTAAAATATGTTTTGTTGTAGTGTTGTGACACTTGTTCATTGAAATGCCACTAGAACCTTTTATGTTTGTCGTTTTGTGGCATTTTTCAAAAACGTGCCACTAAATATCATTTTTTGTGGCATTTTCTAAAAATATGCCACTAGTGTAGTGCCACTAAAGTATGTTTTTGTTGTAGTGTTAGAGCCACCATTAATTAGTGGTCTAAAGCATTTTTGTTCAACTATACACTCGCACACTCAGGCCTAGCTTGTTGGTTGGTGTACTTTAAGCTTTATTTGGAAATAGATTATTTTAATAATTTTTTAATTTTTTTAGTTAAAATATGAGATAAAAAAAATCATATGTTTACAATGAATTTTTAATTTTTTACAGAAAAAAATATACAAAAGTAGAGAGAAAAAAAAATCTATAAATTGTTGGTTTTTTAATATTTTTTAAAGACTTTTTGACTTTTAAACTAAAATATTAAATTGTCAAACGAAACATTAGCAAAACTATTTTGGTGGCAAAAATGTTAATTTTTTTTTAAAAATTACTAAATATTTTACAAAGTGTGCCTGTATGAGGAAACAAAAATAATTCTCTGTCTATCTTTCTTGTAGTGCGTCTGTCCTGTTATTTTTGTATTAGGATTTAAAGTTTAGAATTTTCATAAAAAATTAAAAAAATTATTAAAAAAAAAAGTTAATTTCGAAACAAACACAACTATGTGAAAGAATGTTTTTAATTTCATGGTTCATGCAAGATAATTCAATGTCCATGCACATGGCAAGCTTTGATCCGAACCTGTATTTTTGTGTATGCATGATGTGATTTTTGGTGGAGTTACTATAGATAGTGCTTGATTTGATAGTTATTGGTCCAAGAAAAATCTTAGACATGACAAATTCTATCACTTTTTGTTAAATCATAGTTACTAGTATGTATTCGGGATATGAGTTAGTTTTTTCAATTTTTTTTAATTTTTTTTTGATTACTTTAATCTAAAATTAAAAAGTTTCACTTGAAATGAATTTTTTTTTTATTTTTTTGATTATTATGAGAGAAAAAATGAAATGATTATGATTTGAATGAGATATTTTATCTTATTAATTTTTTAATTTATTTTATCTTTTTGTGACTATTTTAGTTGAAGAAGAGAATGTCAAACATAACTTATATAAATAAAAAAAAAGGAAAAGTTAGGGATCATGAAAATATTTTCATGAAAATGATCATGAAAAATTTATGATTCTTAGATTACCTTGATTAGTGTGTGGTGCTTTATTCTAAGTGTAATTTAAAGGTCACAAAGTTTTCATGAATATTTTCATGAAAGTTTTTCATAATACCTAACATTGCTAAAAAAAAATGTTAGATGAAAGACAAATTCTACGGCCTTTTGTTATTGGCTGATGAATGACTATTTTTTTTTTTTAAATTTATTTAACATATTGCTTGAAAAGAAAGATTAGAAACTCACAATTTATATCACTAAATTTACCAGCAATGACGGCTAGTTAATTATCCCTTATATAATTAAATCACGTCATTTTGAATTAAATTAGAGAAATTTTTTCTAAACATTTCAAACATTTTCCTTGTTTCAATTTACAAAACCAATTCAATGGTAGATCCTAAGACCACCCCAACTGTATCTTTCTAGTAATGTTGTATTTAGTTGGGAGATTTAAGAAATAATTTAAAAATAAAGAGAAAAAATATAAGTGAAATATAAATAAAATATACCTATATTTTATTTAATTTTATATCTCTTTTCCTTTTTTCTTTTTAAATTTCTCAATCAAACACAATATAAAGAGATTTCAAGCAAGCTATTCTATAATTTTTTTATTTAGATTCCTGTCAAAGAAAATTGCCTTATCAGACACTTTCCTTCTCAAACTCAAACGGTACTGCAGAAAATCTCAATTCTAAACATTTATGCCACATTTAGGATTGGTTTGGGATGTTCTAAAAAAGTGCATTTTTTGACTTATTGGCTTATATGGGTTGGGTTTGGGTTGGGTTTGATGTGATGTGTTAGAGAGATGATGTGATTTAAATAAGATGATGTAACTTAAATAGGATAATGACTTTTTGACTTTTTAT